TGATAAAATCGACATTTTTTTCTGATAACTTTTTTAGTAAAGAATTAATCTTATATTATATATTAATTATATTATATATATTATGTAACCTTATTTTATATATATTATGTTAATTATATTATATATATTACGTAACCTTATATTATATATATATATATATATATATATATATATATATATATATATATATATATATATATATATATATATATATATATATATATATATATATATATATATATATATATATATATATATATATATATATATATATATATATTATGTTTGATATAGAGGAGAAAAATGATGATGGCACAATTAATTGGAGCATCGTGTTACTTTGTCCCGAGTAGTATATTTGTAAATTTGCTGTTAGAAAACCTTTTACTCTTAAATACAAACTAATTAGTCCTATATAATGTTCATTTTAATGCTGCTTACTCATTGGTTTGACTCTTAGTTTTTAAAGAAGAATTGTTACGCTTGACCATATAATATATCACTTTTTATTTTGACCACATGATAAAATACTATCAAATCTTTATCATCTCTATTATAATCTGTATTATATGTAAAATCAGTTATAAGATATTAAATTTTGTATTAGATAATTTAATGCAATCATAAATTCTGTGTTTTAAATGTGTAAATATATGCAATATATTAAGTACTTCAATGTGTGTTTAAAAGTAAGTGCTTATGTAGTTTCCATGGCTTTAAAGAGTTTCGACTCAGCTTGTGAGTTAACAGCAAGAGTGTAATATTATTATTGAATTTTTCCGTATAAGTGGCGTTTTTCGGACAGGTAAGTTGGCATCCGTGGAGGATCCGTGGAGGATAAAAGGATCCGTGCTATCCATGTTATATATCAATAAAATGAGAAAACTTTACAATTTTATTTTCAAAAAAATTTAATCTTATATTTTATCTTTTATATTTATAAAATAAGAAGTTTTAAAGTTTTATTTTAAATTTTAGAAATTTTTTTTGCTATATTAGTATTTTTTTATTATAAATATAATAAAATATAAGGAAGATTTAAAAAATTTCAAAATTTATTATTCTAAGAGGAGTCCTTAAACCCTCTAAAATAACACTAATAACAGCGCACCTAACCACTGAGGTTTCAATGAAATGCATTTAGCAGAGAAACAAACCTAATTTATAAGCTATACGTATGCAGAAAAGATGCTCGTCTAACGTTTTTTGCTTTTAAATTTTTTTTTCAGAAAAATTTATTCTATTAAAAAAAAATTGAAGTTAATAACGATTAGGTATAGAAATAATGGGTGAGGAATAGATACGTAAATTGGTAAAGACCTGTATTTTATGGATTCGGAAAGCTAGGATATATAAGGAAAAAGTATAGGAAAGTTCGCTTTGGAATAGATTTACAAAGACCTGTATTTGTATCGGTCCAATCTCAGCTAGTTTCTTAAAAACATATTGTGTATAATTACACAATATGTTTTTAAGATTTTTTTTAAAAACAAACTGATTTGAACAAAAGATGTCTTGAGTATTCTAAAAATCTCTCATTCAAATATTTTTCTGATTTAAAATTGAAATTTAAAAGAAAAAAAAAAGGAAAACTTTAAAACGTTCAATTATTATAAACTTAATTGCAGAAATGTCCTTATCACCCAGAAGCTAACCGAGGGTCATTCCTTAAAGTTTAACGTATATCTAACTACAGTAACAATATCAGATTTAGAACATAGTGCAAGTGAGAAAGAAACTTTTATTTGAAGTGTAAACATTTTGAATATTACATTTTTTTTGTTTCTTGAAAATAGTTTTTAAATTAGAAACATTTTATTGTAAAAATTAAAGCAGTGGTTTTTAATAATTACAGTATATTTTAATTGACTTATTAAATCAAATTCTATTATCCTTTTTAATTACAAAACAATTTAAACGAAAAAGTTTCATGAAAACATTAAATACAAAAATGATTATTAAAGGTCACTGGTTTAATTTTTGCGATAGAATGTTTTTACTTTAAAACTATTTTCAAGAAACAAAAAAATGTTTGGTAATTTTTGGTTTAACGTTTGCAATATATTGCAAACGTTAAACCAAAATTTAAATAAAAATTTAAATTGAAAAAAAGAAACAATAACTTCAGCTCAAAATTGTTTAAGCATATATTAAAATTTAATGAAATATGAATCGACTTATTAAACCAAATTCATTTCTCACTTTTTATTACAAAGCAATTTAAACGAAAACGTTTTGTGAAAACATTAAATAATGAACTTTTAGTTTAATGTTTTCAAATAGCATGTTTGTTATACTTAGATTTTTAATAGTAACAGCAATGAATTATAAAAAACGTTTATTATTTTCTGATTTGACTTTACTCGTTAGGCCTACGGATTTGGATGCTTACGCATTTTTTTAAAAAATTAAACATTTATTTAGTTAGTATTTATATTTTAAACGTGTTTTATGTTGATAATGTTATCAAAAACATGACTTTATATAACAGGAACACGAACAGTGTCACGAAGTTGTTTTATATTAACACAAACTTTTTATATTTCAGTTTGTTTTATTGTTGTTTTATAGATTATGTACAATAATAATTCAATACTCTTTGAAAATGACAGATGTTTTATCATCAGCATAACAAATAGTTTTCTATAACTAATTAAAGTGATTTAAATATTTTGATATTTGTGTTTTTACTTTTACTTTTTTAAGTATCAGGTAAAAACAATTACTCCAAAAATAGTAATAGTATTAATTTAACACTCTTATATACTTTACTTGCTCATTACATCATAACTTGCTCATTACACTATAACTGCAACTTAAAACTACAACTTAAGCTGGAAATTATAAAAGTAAACTAATTTAAACTATTTTAAACTCAACCATATTAGAAAATTATAATTTAAAATTTTAATACTAGCTGTTATGACCCGTACGATACGGGTCGTAGTAAGTCTAATCCGCACCCGACTATTTCTAAAGTTGTTCCTAATTTAGTCTTTATACTTTAATTTGTTTTAGTAATCGGCAAAAAATAAATCAATTTAAAGTTCTGGTAATTGGTAAAATGCGAACTTTTTTGCGAACCATAAATCTATTGCTTGTTAAATTATAACTAATTTGAAAGAAAACAGTCTAATTTAAATAGAATATATCGATTACAATTATATTTAATTTAAAGAAATGATAAGCATGTTTTAAATATCATGACTGTTCAGCTCATTAAAATGTCTTCGTTCGCTAAAAAGTACGCAGTTTGCATTTTACTGACTACCTAAAGTTCTTGCCTTCTGGTTAATTTTTAATTTACTATATATTTAGAACTTTTTAGTATTTTTACTTATTACATTAATACTTATTTACATTAAAATTTTCTACATAATAAAAATATCTTTAGCATACAAGACAGTTGCATTACATTTCTTCAGGTATTTTTGGAAACTTAGGCTATATAAATAATATATTATTTCTCTCTCATAACGATTTATTTAAAAAGCAAATTTGGATTTGAAAAATAGGCCCAAGAGTCCTAGTTATTTCAAATAAGTTAGCTTTATCTGTTTAATATTTTTTATTAAAGCCTTTCTGTAAAAAAACTCTTAAAAAACTTATACAATTAAGATGTTTTTACTGCAAAAATAGACAAATAAAAAAATTCAATAATAATACTACACTCTTGCTGTTAACTCACAAGCCGAGTCGAAACTCTTTAAAGCCATGGAAACTACATAAGCACTTACTTTTAAACACACATTGAAGTACTTAATATATTGCATATATTTACACATTTAAAACACAGAATTTATGATTGCATTAAATTATCTAATACAAAATTTAAGATCTTATAACTGATTTTACATATAATACAGATTATAATAGAGATGATAAAGATTTGATAGTATTTTATCATGTGGTCAAAATAAAAAGTGATATATTATATGGTCAAGCGTAACAATTCTTCTTTAAAAACTAAGAGTCAAACCAATGAGTAAGCAGCATTAAAATGAACATTATATAAGACTAATTAGTTTGTATTTAAGAGTAAAAGGTTTTCTAACAGCAAATTTACAAATATACTACTCGGGACAAAGTAACACGATGCTCCAATTAATTGTGCCATCATCATTTTTCTCCTCTATATCAAACATAATATATATATATATATATATATATATATATATATATATATATATATATATATATATATATATATATATATATATATATATATATATATATATATATATATATATATATATATATATATATATAATATAAGGTTACGTAATATATATAATATAATTAACATAATATATATAAAATAAGGTTACATAATATATATAATATAATTAATATATAATATAAGATTAATTCTTTACTAAAAAAGTTATCAGAAAAAAATGTCGATTTTATCACTAATTAAGCTGATAAAGTAAAATTTTTGGTCTTATAACTGATTAAGCAGATATTGACAGCTCTAGAGGTAAGGGGAGGGGGTTTTAGATTTTTTGTTTTTTGCGATTAGATTTTTTTGCTTTAATTTGAGCCCTGAAATAGTTCTGCTGTATCCCAGACAAAGGTAGTAATTCCAGTCCTATGTAACATACCTTTGTTAATGACGCTAATGAAAATTTTCCAAAAGTCTCTAGAGAATAACTTCTGTGATAAGATACAAGATTTCGTGAACTTAGAATGATTGAGCTTAGCATTAGGCAGCACCTTTATACATCATTTTCTAGCAATAATAAATAGACATTTGTTTTCAAGAGAGTTGTTTTTTTGAAACAGATGAAAAATGTGTTAGAGTAGAAATGGTCTGAGTTGGAACCAACAAGAAGGAATAAAAACTTCCATACTTACCTAAGTTTAGGTGGTTACCTAGTAGGCACCTTTATCAGCTGAGTGAGAAAAAACATCAGTCCAAGAGCAGTTACAAAGATAATTAAAAAAAGAATCCCAGAATTCTAAGAAGTGCCAGCAAAAAGATTTAAAGAGGTCATTAAATGGTTGGAACTTCTGAACGCAAGCTAGAGTCAGAGAAAAAATGCAAATCAAGGAATGAGGGTAAGTTATTAGGGTTGTCTTGAAAATAAAAGTCAAAACGGTAACTATCTGAGTAATATCACAGAAAGAGTTGCATAGCCAGAAAAATTTTACAAATAGAGTCAAAATGTTCTAGCGTTAATCATCATAACCAGGAAACAATGTAGCACAGGTTTACATCTGCGCCAGCGTAATAGATAAAGAAGAGGTTTGAGGCTGGTTAACAGATTTGTTCTGCTTACCTCTTAAGTCTTTGTTTAGGAGGCCTTCTACAAAACAGTAGCTGGATGTAGTTATCGTCTGCTCAAAATGAGTATTTTTATCGATATACGATCTCTATTTTTTTTTTCTTTTTATTTAGGCAAGTGCTTTATTGTTGGACTCACTAGTTTGTAACTGAGAATGCAGTTCATTAGAGATTTAAATAAGCACAAACGTACATAACGTAACTTATTGGTGAGTAAACACCACGCTGGAGGTTCAGACAGAACACAAACATACATATCCTAAATTACGGGTGAACCATTAACGCTCTTAGAGGTTCATACAGAACACAAACACACTTATAGTAACTTATGGGTGAACAAAAACCAGAGCTTTAGACAGAACACAAACATAAAGTAACTTAGAGGAGAGTAAAAATCATGCCAGAGGTTTAGACAGAATACAATTATACGTTTAAAGTATATTCTAGGTGGGTTAACACCGTAACTAAGAAACTTCTAAATATATAAGCGACATAAAAATATAATTATAGGCATGACAGATGTTAGATAGTATTAATGACAGAAAGTACACTTCTTATAGTCTTTGTTAGAAAGCAAATCCTACAAGAAGGCGCAGCATGGGAAAAGGTTGCACTGGGTTATGATTTACATGTAGCAGGGTGATCATGATGACTGTACACCAGATCTGACAATTAAGTTAAACAGTTATAATTTTTTTTTTTTATATTTCTATAGAAAATAAGGTTTTCCACCTTATCATTTATAAAATTTTTCTTTTAACCTAATAAACAGTGTTTTCCATTTTTCTTTTTACAGTTAAATAATTCATGTAGGCAATTGATGAACCATACTATTGAAACAATATATTTTTATTACCATCTGACTAAAATCAAAAAAAAGAGATTTTTGAGGAATACCAAATTTATTTTTAGCCCACTGAGTCTTTTTTGAATATTTGCAAGATTGGACAAAACTTAAACATCAACATATAAAGTATTAACTAAAAAAAAACTGTATTTTTTTATTACACATTTGTTGAATAAATCGGCCAAATAACATTTATTTTTGTTTCTTTTTTTAGCTGCTCGAGTGCTTTTGTTGGCAAAGAGGGAATACCAAAACAGAAAATTAGCCTAGGATATGAGTGTGCTACTAAAGGTTATTATCAATTTTAATAGATGTAAACTTTTTTTTTTTTTGTATTCATCTCAAAAATCAATTGGCATGGAATGTTTGAAATAAGTAAGTAGGAAATAAAGCCCACTTTCTATTTGGCTCTGATCGAATTTTTAATGGTAGTTAGTTAAAACTAGCTACTTTATCTTCAACTCCTTTGATGCATTAGTCATGAGATATTTTTAGGTAATAGGCATTACTAATTTTTTTTTCATAACTAATGATTTATTGAAAAATGGTAAATTAAGTTAACTTTTTTTAATTTGCTCTGCAAGGTAGGTGTTTTAAACAAATTTATTGATTTTATTGCTTTTTTTTACTTTTACAAAAAACCAAATGAAAATTGTTATGATTTCTGATGTTTTTTTGTGTATCAACCATTAAGCAGATTTTCTCCCTTTATTTGCTGAAATCTTTTTTTATTAGAAAGGTTTTACAAATTTATCAATAACTGCATAAATATAAAGTAACTGATGTCAAAAAAAAGTAAAAAGGTCCTGCTGACTTCTAGGATTGGTTTTTTAAGACAAAGGCTAGGAGAAGCCAACTCCGACTTAAAACACCCCTCCCTTGGGGCTCTTGGTTGAGTAAAGGCTAGAGATGGTTTCTTTATAAAAATAATCATCTTGGGCAGATGATAAATGCAACCGGCTACTGTCTTGTAGAATAAGTCGTAGGCAAAGATATAAGCAATAAACAGGTTCTATCTGTTGACCATACCCGCATCCTTTCTATTATCTATTAGACTGGCGCAGACGTATTTATAGTACATTGTTTCCAGTTTAGAATGTTGAATTTAAATAGATCTTCTTAACTCAATGCATGCGTTTTGCTTGTCTAATTTTTAATGAATATGCAACTCATTCTATTATCTCCTAATGAAGGTATGGCTCTAAATTTCATTTTTATGGTTCTGAGGCCGGCTGGTAATCAGGTTTCCCGAACTCTATGTTAGATCTAATTCCTTCAACAGCTTTTACATAGAAAAAAAAGTTGATTTATAAAAACAGGCAAGGCTCAAAGAAGATACGGATGACTAAAGTCACCATAATCTTTTCATAGAGCCCCTATGTGGGCTTTACAAGTTTAAAATAGAATAAGATTGTTTAAAATACAATTGTACACTTCCAATTTAGTAAAAAGATTAAAAAAAAAACTTTCATAAATATTTACATTTAAAGGAAGAAAGGAAAAAGTATTAATATGTTTTTAACAGTAGTCATTTAAAAGTACTAACATTGTTTTAAATACAAAAAAAAGACAAAATTTTTTCTTCAAACTAAGAATAATGAGTCTTGATGTTCATTTAGAAAAAGTGCAAAATTATTTAATGTTAAAAAATTTCATTTTTTATTAGAAACTTAAAGGAGTTTAACGATTTTACTGCATTTAAATATTTGGTTTTTTGAAATGTGCCCCATAGTTTTGGTCCACGGTATGCTATTTCATATCCAGAATACTTGCTCCTAATTCTAGGCAATTTATAAGTATTTTATTGAGAGTAATTATTGTTAAAATTTTTCGTTAATTCATTATTAAAGGATTTCGGAATCCGTTTGTTATTATATTTATACATAAAAGTTAAGTGTTGGTAAATATTAATTTCATCATGGCCTACCGTAACTTTGGATAACTTTGCTCAACCGTGCGTAACATTGCACAACCCAAATCAAAAATACTTTACTCTCTAGCAGTTAAAAATTTGAATTACAACTTCATAACACTTTTGAAGTCAGCTTTATATTCTAGTTTTAATTCAAAAATAATGTAAAATAGTAAATTTAACGAAATTTCTTTCTACACAAGTAACTTTACTTAAACATAGATAAAAGCCACGCAAATAATTTCTTGCAATTTTTATCTGTTAATCACATCATAATTAAACCCCAAGGTGAGTAAATGGCATAAAATGCTTATTATAATATTAGTTTGAGTTATTCTATGTTTTAATGCGATTGTCAGTATAGATGAATATAAAAATACTATTTTTGTAAATAAATTACTGTTTTGGACTAAATTGGGACAATCTGCAAAATAACCACAACTGTCTTTAATCATATAAAAACAATACTTTTTAAAAATTGATACATTTTTAAAAAAATATATATATATATATATATATATATATATATAATATATATATATATATATATATATATATATATATATATATATATATATATATATATATATATATATATATATATATATATATATATATATATATATATATATATATATATATATATATATATATATATATATATTGTAGTTGATTATTTTAAAATAATCAACTACAACAAGTAGACGTTTTTAATTAACCGAAATAGCGCATATTTTTTTATGCGCTAAGTTTTATTTATAAGGTAATTAGGACGTCTAAAGTAGGTCTTAGGGACGTTAATAGGACGTCTAAATATGAACGTCCTGTAAACGTTTTATTGTAGACGTCTGTATAACGTCCTACCAAAGACAACTTTACCGAACGTCTCTAAGACGTCCTAATTTGGTCTCAGACGTCGCGACCTAATTAAGACGTCCGTAAGACGTCTGATTGACGTCTGTGCCTGCTGGGTAGTATTAAACTGCATATGTTTTATTCATTAAAATTACAATTAAAGTTACACGGTACAGATATAAACCGTAAGTTCATCATTAGCTAACAAGCCAGCTCGTATAGCTGTTTTAATACAGCCACGGAAAATGATGCACTGTGTATCTATGTGAATTGCTGGTCTAGTTTTTTATGAAACTGTTGATAGTAGAGGTATTGACAACATCATCCGGCATTCTAAGTATTTGCAACCCATTTGTTGAAAAAGTCAAACGATGCAGTTGCTGTTAATTTTGATATGAAAGCGTTTACGATGATCATAGATGGGAGGAGTGTATACTGATCAATATGCCAGTTGATTAATTCAGTTTTATTTTCAATTTCAAGTTTTTGGATAAGGTCACCACATTTTCTTCTGCCACTTAGTGAAGTTAATGCAACTATATCACATCTTGTCTTATAATCAAGGTGCTTAAATTCATGAGGTATTTTTGTAGCACGATGTAGTATTTGTTCAATCTCAGTAATATCTTTTTTAAGTAATATCTTTTTTACAAATAAAGATGAAGATTTTACTCTGCGTTTACAACGTACTCTATCGTTTTCATTGGATTACGATATAAATCTATTTTTCTCATAGGATAACCATTTTTACTTTAATTGCTTTAATACATCTGTACAAACATAATGTAACTGGATCTGAAGAATTGATTTTATAACAGAACATTATATAGGATTTAATAAAAAAACATGACACACAATTCCGAAGAAATGAATGTAAAGTTCACGAAGTTTAGTTTAAGATTAAACAGTAAAGAAATTTTAACCCTAGGTTATAACTTTGTACCAAATAAATTAAATTATCGTTCCAAGACAAGTGAGAGAAGAGAATTTTATGACTCTAAGTAAAATTCTTAACATTAAAATCTGTGTTAATGACTTATTAAATCTGTGTCAATATTTTATGAGATATTAAGAATATTTTAGGAGATGTTAAAAGTTTTAGTTCATTTTAACTTCATTGCTTTTCAATTATTTCTGACGCATTTATACAAACGGAAATGACTTCTTGTGCTATTTCCAACGATTTTGCAAGTGTTTTAATTTTTCAAGTTTTTTTCCTTTTACATTAAAACAATAAAATTAACAGTTTAATGCAATTAAAATAATTGGTGAAAATGGCTTTAGAAAGATTAAGCTTTCCATAAAGTTCCACAAGACTATATCAACTTTTGCAACACTTTTTATGATAAAACATAATGCATCAAAATTCTCAGCAAAAATGATCTTTTAGGTTGACGGATGATAATATTTCACTTTAAATAAAAATGTTAATAATATTATACAAGAAGACATATCTGTTAAAAAAGTCAAAAACTTTTTTGTAATCCCAATACAATGTTAGGTAATCTGAAAGGATTTTATATTTTAGGATTTTATATTTTAGATCTATAATTTTTTCTGAGATTAAATACAATATTAATCAAATATGGTTCAAAGTTAGGCAAAACTTGGATAAAAACAATTTCAGTATTGATCACAGAGTAACTTTATCAATTTTTACAAAATCTAAAATCCATCTAGGTAATAAGAAATAATGACCTAATGGATTTTGGATTAGTTAATCAAAAATTGTAAAAGCACCAAAAAATATGCTGTGAATAAGTTGTGATGGCTTATTAAAAATTTGCCTAATTTTTATGAAGTTATGCCCAAACATGGTATTATGTGTTAAAACTATAAAAAATAAAATGTGTTTGAAAATATAATATTTTTAATGGTAATGTCAACTGTTTTGAGCTATATATTCGTTATGGGCAAGTTTTACCCATTTAATTAAAAAAATAATAAATAGCTTATATTAAGCCTTAAATAAAACTAACTTGTTTATCAGTTATCTTCAATAACAAACAAACATTTTCGAAATATACTTTCTCAAACCATATGTCAATTCAATAAATTTACATTCACTAACTTTAAATTATTTTTCATTTAAGGTTTAAATATTAATGCTTTTTTAACATTAGACTAATATAATTGAAAATATAATCGAAAATTGCATTTTTGCACTTTAAGCCTTAACACTATACTTAGACAGATATTGGTACTCTCAAATCACATACAAAGTCTTTTGAAGTACTTTGCCGTCTATGATTTTTCTTCGCAATCAGGCTTTTTTGTTTCACTCAAGTTAGACATGAAAATTGATTAGGATTTTCTTAAAAAACTGAAATATATAAAATATACATGTCATAAAATTATGAAACAGTTATTGTGCTACTTTATGACGGAAACATTTAAAAAAATAAAAAAAAAACCAAACAAAATAACTGTTTTTCAACACTCAAAAAAATCGCTTTTCTACATAAATAAGTCTAATTAAGAACAACTTTCAGTTTGCGGCATTTTGTCTGACATCTTAACACTTTTTTTTAAATTTTAATTTACTTCCCCAAGGCGATGAAGGCCTCTACAACCGAGGAGGCTACTTAGGTTGTGCTATAACCTTCGCTCATGTCTATAACTCCAAAACATGAACCTTGACAAACAAGGCCGATGAAACACATTGAGCGCATTACTCCCAAATGCGGTGTGGATCGAACTAGGAACTTCTCGCTTTTGGGTTAGTAAAATCATGTCTGAGTATCACATGCACTATCATCTTGTTCCTTTCCTCCAGTTTTTCTTCCAAGTTTTGTATTGTTGCATATTTGCTATGATGAATATGTTGTTATATATATCGAATAATTATTTTGGATATTTAAACGCAGATAAAATTACACTTTTTAATACCAAGTTTATCTTTTTCCAAATTTTATAAGTTAACTTTTTTTTTAACCTGTTCTGACTAGATTAGTAATGGGTTTTACGCAATTTCTTTTTGCATTAGTTTCTGACAATTATAAAAAGGAATTTGTTTTCAGAAGAATTTTATTGGTGAAATAGGTTATTGTAGTGATTTGGAAATAAAAACTGCATGTAGGAGATAACAAGGAAGATTGAGGCTTGATTTGAAGTTAATAAGAAATAATTTAATAGATTACACTGGAGCCACAATATTTTCGTTCAGCCTTAAGGCAGTTAAGGAGTGCAATTATTAGTTGAATCTGATTTAGAAAAAAGAACAAGATAAAAGTTTTACTAAGGTCATAGTCTGAACTGCGTAATGACGGACGAAGAACTAAGCACAAATTAGGGATACAAAACACAAATCAAGAGTCAAATGTAAATGATGAAAAAATTGATTTGAAGAGTAAGTAAAAAAAAAAAGTTGAAAATAATGAAAGTTGAAAAAAAATAACATTGAGTTGAAACAGTTTGTTGGTAACTATGATTTTTTATGTTTTATACTTTTTGGTTTTATAGTAATTACCATGGTTAATATTTTGCACTCGACGCAGGTACAATATTGCTTAAAGTAATCACATATTTCAACAATAATTTAACAAAAATATAACAAATAATTTAAAAATAAATTTACACGAAATTTTTTTTTTTGTTTAGTACAATTTTTTTAAAAATTAATTACTTTATTAAATTAGTTATTTGAAAATTTGTTTATTTATTATTTGAATAAATCTTCCACCGACTCCAAATGAAAAAATAAGAGCTCAAGGAAATTATGTGTTTTAAAGTGAATGCATTTTAGTTACAAATACTTCTCTTTCAATTTTTATGCAGTTTTAAACATTTTACTAAAATAGTTAGCTTTACAATGCTTAACTACAGTATCGTTAGCTTAAGCTTTGCAATGTTTAAATTTGTTATAGTTAACTAAAGTTATAGTGGCCTTGTGTTGGCTCTTTTTACCATAAAAATCGCACTATGATGACCCAGCAAACACAAAACGTTCAACGAACGTTAAAGAACGTTCTTTAAACGTTAATAAAACGTGCTCGAACGTTTGCAACGTTCTTCGAACATTTAGTTAGTGTTAGCTGGAAAATTCCATGCTGGAAACGCAAACTTAAGCTAATCTTAAATTTGCTTCTCCTGCATAAATTAATGCCGGAGACACAAGGCTAGCTAAGGTTATACATAATCTGTTTAAAGAAATTTTATTTTAAAATATTATTGTTAAAAAACCCGGTATTTTTTAAATGGTTTTTTTATCACAAACTTGTGTCTGAAGTTTCCTAAAAACATGTGTCTGAGGTTTTCAGAGAACTTATTTTTGAGGTTTCCAGTTCATATCAGGTTGTAAAAAAGTCTATTTTAACATTTCAAATACACTGATTAATAGATACTTTATTACACTATTTGCTAGCATTATTTATAAATTATTATTTTTGTAAATTACTTGTTGATTACCAAGTTTCATTTTTTTTTTCAACCAAATTTTATTTGCCAATCACTGCGTTATTTCACATATATCAAACCCTAGATTTAAAGAATCCTTGCATGAGTAATTCAATTTGAATATAAGAGAATCATATAATTAACAAAAGTTTTGCAACATGCTTTAAGACAAACTGACTGGCTTCATCAATATGAATTGCTTTGGATTTTTCTGCAACAAAACTTGTAAGAATGATTTAATCTCTGTGACTTGTAAAATGCAGCTCAAGTGACGGTGTCTCTTTTTAAAATTTGATTTTTTTAGAACTTGATTTTAGAATTGTGATTGTAAGTTTGTATTGTAAAACAATGTTGAGAGTTTTACTACTTTAGACAAATTACTTTGTTTGAATATTGGTCTACTATTTGGTAAAATTATTTAAGGTTTTAAATATTTTTTCTTTGAATAAGGTTTTTGTTTGGTTAATGATTGGTTTTTAATGATCCACTTTATTTTTTTAAATTGAAAATTTCCTATCATTTTAAATTCACTTTCAAGTTAAGGTTTGTTCAATCTATTCACTTTTTAACCATTTGTGAACTAACACTTGTGAGAAAAAACAGTTTCATTGATAACTTGTACAGATGGGTAGAACTTTTACAGATGGGTGGAATTTGTACTGATGGTTGGAACTTGTAAAAATGGGTAGAGCTTGGACATAAGGGTGGAACTTTTACAGATGGGTGAAACTTGTACAGAATAATAATGTGTAATGGTTTTAACATTTGTTGACCTTTTATTAGCTGATGGTTTTTAGAGGCTTAAACTATTGGTTTGACTAATTTTAGGGATTTCGCTAAAATAAACAAGAGATTGGTTGGAAGGTTGTAATATTACCACACAAAACATTAATGGATTTTCTTTTAATTTCAAGTTGGTCTTTTCTAGAAAAAGTAACACATTAAATACAATTAGATTGTAAAGTTTATTATTTGTATATTTTATATAGTTTTGTCTAATCTAAATTTTTTACAAATTTTTTTTGATTTGCAATAATTTCCAGTTAACGTAATTAAAGTTTTTCTTATTAATGTAGTTATAAATACAAATAATATTTTACTAATATGAACTTTTTTTATTTTATTGTATTTTTCTAAAAAGCATTTCTTAGATTTGTATTTGTTATGTTTAATTATTTTAGCAAGAATCGTCAAGTCATTAACTTATCTAGTTGGTGGAAAAAGGGTTGCAAGCATAAAAAAACTTGATAGAGATTTTCAATCTTTTTTAAAAATTATTCCAAACGCTTATACTAAAAAGTTGCACAATGTCATTCATTTAGCTGTTGGATCTAATAAAATACGTCGTGGCAGAGAGATTTTAGGTGTATGGTTTTCAGATGCTGGCGATGGTAGATTAAATATTACTGTGCCAACCAAAGCAAAATATTTTGTTACTAATCCTCAAATAACAAGTGCATTTTGTTCAATAGATATTCTTCAACAAAGAGAAAAAAATAAATACGTTTACACTATTAAAATCAATGCAGAAACCGTTTACTCTGAACTGAATCCAACACCAATACCTTTTTACAATGTCCAGGTTTATGCTTCAAATCCTTGGGACATAGTGCAAGACACATTTATAGCGGGAATGTTTATAACCAATGGAAAGAAAGGTTAAAGTTGTTTAACAAAATTTATAAAACAATATTTTTATCATGTTATATATTTTTAATATAAAAAGAGTTATATTATGTTATATTAAACTAGTGAAACAAATGCAAACTACATTACTAGTTAAACAAATTAAAAAACAAAGTTTTTATTTAACTTGTTAAACAAAAGTTTACTTCAGACACTTTAAAATTTCATTTGTAACTCCACTCTTGTAAGACTTTATAAAGTTTGTAACTTTACTGTTTTTAAGGTTTATCTTATTTGAATAAAAAGTTTATTCTACTTGAATACATTTATAACTTCATAGATTTTTATAAAAGTTGTAAAACTAATGTTTGTTAGGTTTGTTTGATTTTAATCCAAATACAATAAATAAAAGTTAAATTTTTTTGATACACTTTAAAAATATTAAATGAATAATAATCTGAAAACTGTTCTTTTTTATTTCAGATCAACCAAGCATGATTGATCTTGTCATTAATCCAACAGGTATGGAGATTCAAAATAACCTTTTCTAAGTTATAACATTAACAGAAATAAAAAATATTGATTAACAACAACAAATATTAAAATATTTGTTCAAAAACATTCTTTTTAGATAAAATTGTTCAACTTTTAAAGAGAGAGCTCTGTGAAAATGAAGTTATTGGAACAATGAGTGTTTTAGAAAGAGAATACATTGTATCTTTTAAGCTGAAATCGAATTTTTACTCTAAAGAATGGGAAAATGTTCTTCACATAACCAAGGGTCAGAATTTTGGTAAAATTGGGGAAAGAAATCCAGCAGTTTTTTTTCATCAAGACGGTTCTGGGAGACTTGTATTTTTTGCGACTATTAATGGCAATGTTACTTCAGAATTTGTGACAAAAAGTCCACTTCCACTCAATGTATAGTCGAGTATTAAAATAGAACAAACCCCCAGAAATGGTGTTCATGTTTATGCTATATATATTAATGATTCCATTCAATATGAAATTAAAAACAAAATTCCAGAACAGTTTACAGATATGAAAGTGTTTATTTCAGATCCATGGTATACTGCACACGATGGTGATATTAAAGAGTTGTTTGTTGTGAATAGAGGTTTAGTATAACTAATTTAATTTTTAAATAATTAAATAATCATTTTGATTGTAGGTAAAGGTGATACTATGGTAAAATAGGATGCTTAAGAATAAAAGTTTAATAAAGTCGAAATATAATCAATTTATGAGGAAATATAAACAAGATTATAAAAAAATAAAAAATAAAAAATATTTGTCAAATTGTTTTGTTAAATTGATTTGTTAAAATTTTAAAAAAATAGTATTTATATTTCATGTTACCCTCCACTAAGGCAAAGCTGTATAATGGATGAAAAAAAATGGGTAAAAATAAAGAAGATAATTCACTGTCAGTCTTCTTCTTTTTTTTTCCCCAATAGCTCTTAGCTCCTTAAAGAAAGTGCCTTACAATGTGTCTTTAGTTGTTAAAAAGAATTCTTTTTTTTGCATTCGTTTTTTCTTTTTTTTTGTAGATTTTAATCTAACAAATAGTTTCCTTTTTTTTTGTAAAAGTGTATGTATAAAACAAATTTTCCACTATCCTTATACTTTTAAATGCGATTATTTGGTTATACAAAGATAATCTTAAATATTCACAAAGATATTTTGTCTTTAAAACCTTTAAAAATACTAATAATGAACCGAAATTTAATTTATATAAAATTATCAGTAGTAAAATAGAAACAGCGATTTTTGGATAATCATACTCTTCATCTACTTTTTCCACATTCGTACAATGAATATTATATTATAAAGTGAAATAAAGGCCTATTTTTCTGCAGAAACATTGATTCAAAATAAAGTTTTTTTACTAAAATCAAACAACCGTTAGGAAAAACATAAAAGAACTATCAAATATTTAAAAAAAAATTATATTGGCAACACTGACCACGACTCTTCTAAATACGTAAAAGTAATGTCAGTAAAATAAAAACAAAAATAAAATGATTTTTTATCTTATTGATATATATATATACAATTTGTTGTATAAATTTCTTGTTTCTTCGTGTTACTTTTTTGTTTATTATTATTAATAATATTATAATTATTTATATACTTATTTATATTAATAATTTATTATTTTCTTATATATTGTATTTATAAAAAACTTAACATTTTAAAAAAAAAAAAAAATGTTATTAAAAATTGCTATCAGCATGGTTAAATTAAAGCTAAGATTTCTTATGACAGACTTCAAAAAAGCAATAAAAATTATAAAAAAGAAGAAAGAAAGCTAGAGACTAACTTTCTTTCTTTGTATTTTTTTATGATATTTCAGTTTATCCGTTGAGTATTAAATCACATTTATATACATTAGTCTTTATTGGTTTGTCTAATAACTATAACCTCTCAGTTATATTCAAGTCTGGTTTTTAAGATCTTATTTAAGATTTTGTTTATCAAATTTTTTTGCCATATTTATTTTTTTTTTTTAATTTGTAATTTGAGTATACCGTTAATTTAATTGATTTGTGACTTGATGTTGTAAATCGTTTCTCTGCAATAGAAAACAATGAGTTGTTTTGGGTGAGTTTGTTTCAGATTGGCAGGAAGTCACAAGTGGATTTCCCCAGGGTTCAGTCCTCGGTCCACTTCTGTTTATAATATTTATAAATGACTTAAAAGTTAACATACTAAATAAATTAGAATTATTTGCAGATGATACAAATATAATGTCAGTAATTAATAATGAAAGTAACAGCAGTGCTCTTCAAGAAAATTTAAATAAGTTATTAGACTGGTCTAATAAGTGGTCAATTAAATTCAATGGAGAAAAGTGTAAAACAATGCACATTGGTAATTTGAATCCTCAGTTTAGTTACAAATTAGGAGATCATATTTTGCAAAAAACAGAAGTTGAAAGAGATTTAGGTGTAATATTATCAAGTGACCTCAAATGGGAAAATCATATTATCAGTGTAGCAAATAAGGCAAATAAAACACTGGGTTTTTTAAAACATGAATTTAAATATCTTGATGTAACCATTTTGAAGCTGTTATACAAGTCAACTATTAGACTACAGTTTAATATGCAGCATCTGTATGGAGCCCATATTGTATTAATCAATTTAGATTCATATAGTATTTTGAATAAAAAAGTCACTTTGAGTTTTCCTAAGTTTTTTTTCTAAAATTAGAATCTATAACAATTGAGTTCAAAGCTAAGAAAATTATTGTAAGTTTAAATTTTGAAGTAGAAATTTTTTATTGAAATTGAAACTGATCAAAACTAAAATTGGTCAATTTGAAAGTCATTTAAAAAATGTGTGGGAAAAATGTACACTCTAAAATACAGAGGTTTTTCAAGAAGCTTACTAATGTTAGATAAAAATGAAATAGGTCTGAAGTTTTAGAGCCATTTTTAAATATTGGAATAACGCAAGATAATTTCAAAATATCAGGAAATGTTCCATTTATGAATGAGGTATTAAAATGTTTTGAAAATGTGATAAAACCAAAAAAAGTTTTAAAAATAAGACGTCGCAATCTAACTATTTGAATGAATCAGATCAATATTATAAACACTAAGTAAGAAAACAGAATAATTTCAGCAGATGTTTTTGAAGTAGGATAGACATTATATTATTATAAACATTGATATCAATACAAGGGTGTTTTCGTAAAATGCTTATATAGTTTAATATTGCAACTCTAATTTTTATGTTACCACAATCATCAGGCAAGTAGTAAAAATTTAATTTTGCTTTGCTAGCAAAATTAATCTTTTACTATTTGCCTGATGATTGCGGTAACCAATGAAACTCAGAGTTTCATTATTAAACTAAATTATAAACATTAGCATCCCAGTGGGCACACGACGTTATTTCGACGTTGATTTACAGTTGATTTTTAGTCGCGACGTCGTTTAACCAAAAATCAACGTTGTATTAACGTTGAAAAATTTGTTTAAAACTATAAAATAAAATCAACGTTGATTCCACGTTAATTCAACGTCTATAGTACGAGTTCGACCGTTCGTAATTGCAATATGAGAACTACAATACGCATGCGTGACTTAAATTTTTTTTTATTGACATAACAAATAACAAGTAAAGACTTAAAAAGTTACTTTTTAGCCCAATAAAAACAAGTAAAGTCACACATGCTAACATCTGTTGCCTTTTTATAAAGTTTTGAATTTGACAATTTAACAATAATACATGGCTTAACTTGTGATGCTGTTAGTTAGGTAAATATTAAATGGATATTTCTTTATGACCGTATTATTTCATGAGTGTGGATTACAAGAAGAAATTACTTGATATATTATATAAATATAAAATATATATTATATATGTTTTTCTTATTTATATAGTATATATATATATATATATATATATATATATATATATATATATATATATATATATATATAAATATATATATATATATATATATATACGGAAAAAAACACGTACTGAAACTTTTTAGTCCCTGTGTAATAAGTATTTGTGTCAATAAGGTTAACTATATTATAACTAATATATTATGGTTAATGCAAAAGAATTCAAAGACGCTCTGGATGCACTGGAGAGTAAACTAAGAATTGAATATGAATCAAAGATTAGTAATGCTGTAGCAGATTTGAAAAAAACAATACAATCAACAGTTGCTGATTTAACTAAAAAGAATGAAGATTTAAACAACAAAGTTTTAAATTGTATTAACAAATTGTATTAACAGTTGCTGATTTAACTAAAAAGAATGAAGATTTAAACAACAAAGTTGTAAATGTTATTGTTCCTGCTCCGAATGAAGCTTGGAATATTGTAACAGGTAGAAAATTAAATAAAACTTAATCTCAGATTGATATTATTAATACAGTCTCGAATGAAAATAAAGAAATTAAACGAAGAGAGAAGAACGTAATTATTTTTGGTTTAGAAGAATACAATAAAACTGATGGCGCAGATATAAAGAAAGATGACGAAAACAAAGTATTAGATTTATTGGATCAAGTATTAATAGATAAACCTCATATGGTTCGTATTTTTAGATTAAAATCTAAAAAATGGTATTGCACCAGTAATTGTCGAGTTAATAAATAAGGACACGAGAAATGACTTATATACTATAAAAAAATCATACCGTAAGTTTAATGGTATTTATGTATATCCTGATTTAACTGGTGCTCAGAGAAACTTGGATAAACAACTCAGGGATAAATGTAGAGAATTAAATAAACCACTCAACCTAAAAGACGATTGGGACCAAGTTAAAAGCTATCACGTGATTAGAAATAAACAAGTAGTGTTGGTAAACAAATAGCAATTGTTGTTCAAGTCATCACAGTATGACACACATAATTTTAAACATTCTTTACATACACCTTGTCAATATATATATAACCAATTAAACAACCCTGATGCAGACACTGGAGAAATTAATCATTTAAACTCAAGTGCTAATACACTGCTGGTAAAGAAAATAAATCAAGACCTTCAAAAAGGTTTAAAAACAGAAAATATCAATTATTTAACATTTTGGTATACAAATGCGACCTCTTTAAATAATAAATTTGACGAATTCATTGATGATATATCCAGATCTAAAACTCAAGTTATATTTGCTTGTGAGACTTGGTGGTCAGCAATGTCTACTACTAATATTCCTGGTTATAACCTGTTTAGAAAAGATCATCAATTTAGTCGTGGTGGTGGTTTATGTATTTATATACAAGAGAATATTAAATCTTATGAAATAAATGAAAAATATCTAATAAATGAAAATATTGAGCAAGTATGGTGTTTGATTGAAATTGGCAAAGAGCAAATCTTATGTGGTTGTATGTACCGGACAGGTCTTAGTAATAGTGAAAAGTGTATTGACATTATAAAATCATTAAAACAAGCATATGTACTCAAACAAAATAACAAATGCTCTGGTATTTTAATATGTGGTGACTTTAACTATGCAAACATCAAGTGGAACGATGAAAGTTTTAGTGAAATTATAAATGACAGTGACACAACAACAATTATGTTTATTGAGTCGTTACATGACTGTTACCTGCACCAAAATGTTATCAGTCCT